ATGTCACAAAATTTTATTCTTCTTTCGATTTTTTTTTCCACCAAACATTTAAACATGTAAAACCCATTCTGAGCTCATGGGCTGTATAAGAACAGATAAGTGGCTGGATTTGTCCTATCTGCCATTGTTTGCTGATCCCTGCTCTCTATGCATCCTGCTTTATCAGGTACTATGGGGCAAGACAGAAGCAGCATCTAGGGCTGCCGCTCGCAGTCTCATTGAGGAGCTGAGATGTTGTATACACACTTGACAACATTAGATGATAAAGTAGTACAATAGGCACAACAGTGGGTAGCTCTGACAAGTGAGTTCGAAAGCTCCAAAGCAGAGCAGGTCAGTGGAAGCTGAAAAGTCAGGGGAAGCAGTAAGATAGAGGGGCTTGCAATCTGAAGCATGTAGATAATTTGGAGATTTCCATTTGAACATAAGATCCCAAATGATCAATGCAGTTCACCTACTGCTATTCTTGGCACTCAGAATAGAGCCAGGCATAAAGCATGTTCTCAGTAATTATTTATTAAATAATAAATGTGTTTTAAGGCACAACCAGAGTCATCATACTAAGATAAAATATTTGTGATGCACTAAAAAGGTCAATGAATGTCAGGGGCAAATATTTAGAATTTATTTTTTATATAGTGAGAGATTTTTGACCACAGGGTTAATGATAAAATTATATTTGGAGAGATTTAATCTGCCAACAGTTTATGGAACTTCAGTTTCCCTAAATTCCACCTAGCTTTATCCTTTTATTATGCTTTAAGTTCTGGGGTACATGTGCAGATCTTGCAGGATTGTTGCAAGATATACACATGCCATGGTAGTTTGCTGCCTCTATCCCCCCATCACCTACATCAGGCATTTCTCCCAGTGTTATGCCTTCCTAACCTCCTCACCCCTTGCTATCCCTCTCCTAGCATCTCACCCCCGAACAGACCCCAGTGTGTGATGTTCCCCTCCCTGTGTCCATGTGTTCTCATTTTTCAACACCCACCTATGAGTAAGAACATACAGTGTTTGGTTTTCTGTTCTTATGTCAGTTTGCTGAGAATGATGGTTTCCAGATTCATCCATGGCCCTACAAAGGACATGAACTCATCCTTTTTTATGGCTGCATAGTATTCCATGGTGTATATGTGCCACATTTTCTTTATTCATTATGGGCATTTGGGTTGGTTCCAGGTCTTTATTATTGTAAACAGTGCCACAGTGAAGATACATGTGCATGTGTCTTTATAATAGAATGATTTATAATCCTTTGTGTATATACCTAGTAATGGGATTGCTGGGTCAAATGGAATTTCTATTTCTAGATCCTTGAGGAATTGCCACACTGTCTTCCACAATGGTTGAACTAATTTACACTCCCACCAGCAGCATAAAAGTGTTCCTATTTCTCCACATCCTCTCCAGCATCGGTTGTCTCCAGATTTTTTAATGATTGCCATTCTAACTGGCATGAGATGGTATCTCAATGTGGTTTTGATTTGCATTTCTCTAATGACCAGTGATGAGGAACATTTTTTGTATGTTTGTTGGCTGCATAAATGTCTTCTTTTGAAAAGTGTCTGTTCATATCCTTGGCCCACTTTTTGATGGTGTTGGGTTTTTTTTTTTTCCTTGTAAATCTGCTTTAGTTCTTTGTAAATTCTGGATATTAGCCCTTTGTCAGATGGGTAGCTTGCAAAAAAATTTTCTCATTCTGTTGGTTGTCAGTTTACTCTAATGACTATTTCTTTTGCTTTCCAGAAGCTCTTAAGTTTAATTATCTCCCATTTGTCTATTTTGGCTTTTGTTGCCATTGCTTTTGGTGTTTTAGTTATGAAGTCCTTGCTTATGCCTATGTCCTGAATGGTGTTGCCTAAGTTTTCTTTTAGAGTTTTTATGGTGTTAGGTCTTATGTTTAAATCTTTAATCCATCTGGACTTAATTTTTGTGTAAGGTGTCAGGAAGGGGTCCAGTTTCTGCTTTCTGCATATGGCTAGCCAGTTTTCCCAACAACATTTATTAAACAGGGAATCCTTTCCCCATGGCTTATTTTTGTCACATTTGTCAAAGATCAGATGGTTGTAGATGTGTGGCATTACTTCCAAGGCCTCTGGTCTGTTCCATTGGTCTATATCTCTGTTTTGGTACCAGTACCATGCAGTTTTGATTAATGTAGCCTCGTAGTATAGTTTGAAGTGAGGTAGTGTGAAGCCTCTGGCTTTGTTCTTTTTGCTTAGGATTGTCTTGGCTATGCAGTCTTTTTTGGTTCCATATGAAGTTTAAGGTGGGTTTTTCAAAGAAAAAAACAAGAAACCAAGTGAAGAAGGTAAATGGTAGCTTGACGGGGATAGCATTGAATCTATAAATTACTTTGGGCAGTATGGCCATTTTCATGCCATTGATTCTTCCTACGAATTTCACTTTCCAGTATGAATTTCACTTTAAAGTTCTTATTTGAACTGAAGTCAACAGCAAAAAAGAGAATTTTTGTTTGCATATGCATGCTATACAACCACCGACTCATCACCAGTCAGTCTGGGGTTTGGAATGAACTAAAAGACTCACAAGACACAATATGCTCCCACATATTTACCAGTTTATTTCAAGCAATGCGGCACACAGCCAAAAAGAAGTTGCAACAACACAGGTGCGCTGCTCAGAGCATGCTATGCTGCAAGAGACAGACTGAAAGGGGATGGCTGCTGTAGCATAGGAAAGCTGTCACCTCCTTCCCTTAACCATCTTTTATAGCATGTCTATCACACGGCATATCTAGGAGTGGGTGCAAAGTCACAGCTCTCCCTGTGTAGCTACACTTCACCATTCAAGCCCTCAATGAACAATTCTGGTAATCAAATACAATCTCACCAGTTAACACTGCACGTTTATCTTGAGTTCTATATTCCAGAGAGTAGTGTTGCATGAGACAAATCCAACATCATATCACCAGAAGTCCCTGAGTCTGGGCTTAGACCTCAAATCAACAGTTAACCATTGACCCACAACTTTATCTCCCCAGAGATTTTTTTTCCATCTCAAAAACTCAAATATTAGCTTTTGACCTTTGAAACGAATGAATAGCAACTGCATGGGAGGAAAACATAGCTGTTTTAGCCTGAGCATTGATGCGTTTCAGTTCCAGTGATAGAACAAAGGGTTTGGAATCATTTCTGGTTTTTCCTGAAGCATCTAAGCAGGGTGGTTTCATTTCTTGGTTTAAAATTCATACTGAGGTATAGGAGTCACTATACATTCTGAAGTGACAGAATGCTTTTTGATCATCCAACACTTCAGGTCATTTATGCTCTCAACCTCCTCTATCTGTCTAGATGTTAGAGTTAACTATAAAACTGATAACCACCCTTCCTCATACTTCTTTTTGCTCTTCATTTCACTTCCCTGGAGTGCACCCTTGAAAGAGTCTTTTCTTCAGCTCCTTTCTGAATTCCCAAATTTATGCTGAAATAGGAAAGGCACTTGATTTTCTAGTGTGTTCTCCAGTCTCTTTGGTAAAAGCCTAGGAGCTCCCAGCACATCGTTTTAAAGTCACAACTGAAAGATAGTGCCCTCCAATGTTGTCCCTACCCCACTTCCTCTCATTGCCCTTGTTCTCCCTGAGTGATATCATTCACTCCCATGGTTTTAATTCATATCAGTATTAATGCCATCTGTATTCTAGCTTCTATACCTGAGCTCCAAACCTATACTTCTACCTGCCCATTGGATGACCCTTGGATGCCCCACTGGCACCTCAACTCAACATGCTCAGGTCAGATCTCATCATCTCCCTGTAATATTCCTCATCCTCTGTTCTCTGTCTGGTAAAATAGTTTCGTCAGCCAGAAACTATAGCCTCAGCCTTAACTTTCTCAAAGCCCACTAGATTCAAATTCTCTGACTGTTCTTGCTTCCAACTCACATTAGCTCTTAAACCTATATGCTTTTATCTTTCTCTGCCGTCACCACCACAAACCAACATCATCTTTGCCTGGATTACACAGCAGATCCCTAGGGTGTCTAAAGATGTATTCTTAGGGATGTATGAGTTCTCTAAAGATAATAGTGTATGCCACTTTGATTAGATGATGATGTAATGTAAAATAATATGTGCACAGATGGTAAAGTGACCATTGTATAGTCAAGAATGCTATAAAATTTCAGTTTCTGAGTTTGTGTTTAGGAATATTTCCACTAAGTAAAGAACAAAGTAGTGCTTCACAGCAGTTGTATTCAAGAAAATCATGGAATAGTTGAGTAATTTCACTGCATATGGTAATTTGGCATGCAAACTTGAGTTAGAACCTGTGCCAGAACAATCAGCATATACTCATTTGTGGGCAGTATGAACATCTACATAGAAACCACGTGTGAATTTACCCTCAGTTATAATCACTTTTTTCTGCATAGAGTTTTAGTAATTCTTGGATTATAATCTCATTTATTAGCTTTATCTTCAAGTGAACAAGAATTTTAAAGTTGGCATTGAAAAATTATTTGAATGCAGAATTGTGGTTAAGTTCTGATTATTGTGAATTGGCAAATGGAGCGTTAAAGATATTAATTCTATTTTGTCCAACATACCTATGTGAGCAGGTATTCTCTGCATGAATATTGTTGAAGTAAAAGTACAGAAAGAGATAAAATATAGAAACCAAGATTCATCTTTTTGTTACTGAATCCAACACATACTGTTTTATTTCAGCAAAGCAACATCATCAATCCATCAAAGTTATGTTGTTACTAAGACTTTTTAATATTTTTTGTTTTAACATGGAATTCATGCTATAAGCCTAAGCACTTAAAACCAGTTACTAATTACATTTGAATGAAAAGATAGGAGGCAACACTGGGAATTTATAAGAATTTCTTGCCCTTTGAAAAGAGTCTGTGTATTTTTCAAGGAACTGCTTTAATTGAAGGAAAAAACAAATTCTGTTGTATTTATGTTCTTTTTTAATGCATGTAATTTTAATCTTGCATTCAACATGATCTACAATTTCTTTTTTCCTCAGAACAAATGTCAAGGTCTCGTGTTTGACATAGTCACGAGTCAGATCTTTGATATCGTCATCATCATCCTCATCATCCTAAACATGATCACCATGATGGCTGAATCGTACAACCAGCTCAGAGCTACAGAGTCCGCCCTTGACCGTCTCAACTGGACCTTTGTGGCCGTCTTTACAGTAGAATGTCTCATCAAAATATTTGCTCTGAGGCAACACTACTTCACCAATGGCTGGAATTTATTTGATTGTGTGGTCGTGGTTCTTTCTATTGTTAGTAAGTACAATCAGCAGTCAGAGGGGCTTTAAGAGCCAGAAGTAAATTTGTAAATCTTAACATTTTTTGAAGCTTGTTCAAACTATCGACAAAGCAGAAAATTAGGCCTAGTATGGTTTCTGACAGAATACACACGGCGCGAATGCCGTTCTGCACTGGGAAGTTGGTAGGGGACAGAGTACTTTCCATTCCCTTAACTTGCTACATAATTGACATAGAGTTAAATAATTATGCAGACAATGTATTCAATGGACCTAGACAAAATTAAAACGACTCAGAAGTTTTTGTGGTGGTAACCTGATTTATTCAGATAATTGAGTCAAAGTTCTACCTTTCCTGTGCGATGATAAGCTCTATGAGCATTTTAAAGTTTTAAGGATTTACTGCCCATGTTTTTCCTTTGTTCAAAATCCACATGGATACCAGATCACAATTACTGTGATCCTGTGGCATGGCTGTACCCTCCCTCAACCCTATACAAGGCCTCATGGCCTACTCTATATTGGGTTTCCAAGAGTAAAGCATTCAGACAATCAAAGCTTTTTTTTTTTTTTCTCTATTCTATTTCCCATGTTAACTTAAACCACAGTGTGAACTATGCTTGTCTCAGATGCTTTGACCCTGTTTACCACCCAGCCTCAGTCTCTAATCACAGACAGGGTTAACTAAAAGGTTTATAAAAGAATATAAAAGAGGCTGGACGCAGTGGCTCACACCTGTAATCCCAGCACTTTGGGAGGCCGAGGCGGGTGGATCACGAGGTCAAGAGATCGAGACCAACCTGGTCAACATGGTGAAACCCTGTCTCTACTAAACATACAAAAAATTAGCTGGGCATGGTGGCCCATGCCTGTAATCCCAGCTACTAAGGAGGCTGAGGCAGGAGAATTGCCTGAACCCAGAAGGCAGAGGTTGCGGTGAGCCGAGATCGCGCCATTGCACTCCAGCCTGGGTAACAAGAGCGAAACTCCGTCTCAAAAAAAAAAAAAAAAAGAATACAAAAGAAAGAAGGTTGTTCCATGTACCTTGTTATAAAACACACACATACACACATCAACTTTAAAATTAAATTCTTTGTGGCTGAATAACAATTGCTTACTCTGAGTTTTTGAAGTTTGGTTTTAACTAAACCATTAATTTGACTTTTTATAATTATGTAAAACTGTCCAGGAGCCCTTGTGATAGTTCAAAAAGCAATGAAGACAAGGAAAACTGATTTTCCAAGCGGAAGCTTTTGTGCAATCTCAGAGAGAATGCATCCAACAAGTGTATTGGATCAAGATGTTTTGGTCCCTCATGCTACTGTAGCAGTGCAGATGTTTCCGAGAACAGCAAATACGCTACAGTTCAGCATGTTTTGGTTTATACGCCATGACGTTAATGTAGATAAAGTTTAGCCGTAGATTCTTACATAGTTTTACAGTTAAGTAGACCTTTAATTTTTATTAATCAATTCCAATCACAAGTCCTGGCGAAATTGACAGCAGCAAAAAAAAGAAAAATCTAGAAAATGGTGTTAGGATGTATGAGGCAGGCCTTCTAAAAACTCAAAGAGCCCTTCCTCTGATAGGTAAAGAGCAGCTCATTTATTCCACAGCTCCTTCCATGCAGTGCCAGGCATCGTGCCGTTTGTGGAAATGTTTCTGACTTTCATTCTTCGAACAGCTGCTGGGCAATTGTAGTTATACATGCTGTATGGCATTTGCTCCAGTGGATGAGGGAATCCACATATTAAACCAAATCATATTCAGCAGTAGGATTAATCCATATATTAATCCTACTCACTAGTGTGGACAGAGTTTTATATACTTTGGCCAATATGTCTGCTGTCCAACACTTAGTCTCAATACTTTTCCAAGCTCCTACATAAGTTTCTGGAGAAATGCAAAATGAATGTGAGTGGAAGTGAATCTCTAGGAGTTAATAATGTAGTTGGGGTATGAAGGCTTACTCACCTTAAAGTGCCAGAAAAAGACAGGGAAATTAATCGAACATCAAATCACATGGTACAAAGAAGAAATGAGCTCAGGGAAAGAACAGATTACTGTGGGCTTGATTAGCCCAAGAAATATGCATGGAGGAGGTAGATCTTAAATGATGGGCCTCCCCCAGTTGTTGCTGAATTGGCACTTAATAAATTTCACATCTTTCCAGGGTTGACTTCCCAATTAATGTATGAATTAAACTTCTTCGGCGCAGCTGGGTAGTCAGTGAAGTATATCATCAACTAGTTCTCTTTAGTCATTAGGTGACAGCAGAAGCATTCTGCTGCCCATGACCCCTGATGAACCCCTAATGACCTTAAAGGACACTCAACGTCATTAGGGGTCACGGGCACTCAAAAGCAAGAACAAGGCCATGTCTACACAAGGCAAGCATGTTCCAGCCATTCTATAATATTTGGGCCAAAATGTGAATTGTCTTAAATCCTTGTATCACTTGTCTGCAGAACAGGCAATGGAAGAACAGGGTGATATTTTAGGTTAAATATTCAGCTGTTTGACCAGACCTCCGAAATGCCACTTATGGGGTATCTGCAGCAACAGAGAAGGTATCTCCAAATTTTGTCCCTTGAGCTTATTGAGTTTGGATTTCAGAGGTCCTTGGAATGAGCATGACAAATATGTAAGATCCATAGGCAGCTTCAGCCTAAAGGTGAGCGTTCCACTGCTGCCTTTTCCCTCTAGCCATACAAACGTTGTGGCTCTTTCAGCGGATAAGCTGTCCTCACCTGTAGCAGGTCTGTATTTAAATTCTTCTGTACAAATAAGGACTGTACCTTTTAGGGACCTTTGGATTGGGGATTCTACAGTTTCCACTGGCAGCTCAGACTCAAGGCAACCTTCTGTAGTAGAAATCTCCCCTTGCGCTCTAGTCCAAAAGACTCAAGCTGTAGTTTATCTGTTTTACAGTCTATACATTCAATACATATGGAAACCTGTTGGTTGTATTTGTTACATCCTGAGTGGCTTTTAAAAACCCAGCATAGATACCACTTCAAGTACATAATTCACAAAATAGCCTTTCATAAACTGCATTCCTTTCCTTAGTTGTCTTTAATATTTCAAACATTCTATCCCATCTAAAGTCCCATCTAAAATTGTAGGCCCCTTGGAAACTGTCTTCCAAGTTAAGACACAGATAGGTATTTTCCCTGATACTGGTAAAAGAAGGTCTTAGTTTTGTACATGAGCTAATTGATAAAAAGTTAGCCCCGTAGGATTCTGAAGCAGGAGACAGGCTAGATCTGAAACCAATGTGCCTGCTGGAAACTTACTGACTTTTCTCCTTCTCCTGAGGTACAATTGTTTCTATCTTGGCAAAGCAGGACCACATTCCTTTCCCTCCAACACTCTTCAGAATCGTCCGCTTGGCTCGGATCGGCCGAATCCTGAGACTTGTCCGGGCTGCACGAGGGATCAGGACTCTCCTCTTTGCTCTGATGATGTCGCTTCCTTCTCTGTTCAACATTGGTCTTCTACTCTTTCTGGTTATGTTTATCTATGCCATTTTGGGTATGAACTGGTTTTCCAAAGTAAATCCAGAGTCTGGAATTGATGATATATTCAACTTCCAAACTTTTGCCAGCAGCATGCTCTGTCTCTTCCAGATCACCACATCGGCAGGTTGGGATGCCCTGCTCAGCCCCATGCTGCGATCAAAAGAATCATGTAACTCCTCCTCAGAAAACTGCCACCTCCCTGGCATAGCCACATCCTATTTTGTCAGTTACATCATCATCTCCTTTCTCATTGTTGTCAATATGTACATTGCTGTGATTTTAGAGAACTTCAATACAGCCACTGAAGAAAGTGAGGACCCTTTGGGTGAAGATGACTTTGACATATTCTATGAAGTGTGGGAAAAGTTTGACCCAGAAGCAACACAATTTATCAAATATTCTGCCCTTTCTGATTTTGCTGATGCCTTGCCTGAGCCTTTGCGTGTGGCAAAGCCAAATAAATACCAATTTCTAGTAATGGACTTGCCCATGGTGAGTGGAGATCGCCTCCACTGCCTGGATATTCTTTTCGCTTTCACCACTAATGTACTCGGTGGCTCTGATGGCTTGGATAGCATGAAAACAATGATGGAAGAGAAGTTTATGGAAGCCAATCCTTTCAAGAAGTTGTATGAACCCATAGTCACCACCACCAAGAGAAAGGAAGAAGAAAGATGTGCTGCTGTTATTCAAAAGGCCTTTCGAAAGTACATGATGAAGGCGACCAAGGGTGACTTGGAAAACAGGCCTCATTCATCACTTCAGACTCTTTGCAATGGAGACTTGTCCAGCTCTGGGGTAGCCAAGGGCAAGGTCCACTGTGACTGAACCCTCATCTGCACCCCTACCTCACAGCCTCACAGCCTTGCCTCCAGCCTCTGAGCTCCAGGGGTTGGCAGCTCAGTGTATAAACAGGGAGTGGATTCACTAAATTATCCATTCTGTTTCTTTTTTCTGGCTAAAAGAAGTGATATTTCAATTTCATTTTAAATGATACTTACAGAGTTGCCTGACAGTTAACCACTGGTTATATTTTAATAAGGAAGAATATACTCATGTTAGGATTGAAATACAGTTCAAATTATATCTAAACAAAAGAATAAGAAACAGAAAACACGTTACAATTTTAAGGTGTGTTTTCTATATGTTTCTAGTTACATTACTTTTGTTTGATGTTTCCCCAATGTAAGTATGTGGTTTATCACATGTAGCTCTTTTGCATGATAAGTGAAACTTCAAAACCTGCCAATAAATGAATAGCTTATTGCAGATATTTTTTACTAACATTAATTGTTTTGAGTTGTTTCAAACCTAAATGGACAATCTTGACCTATCAATTATTACCCTTTCACAAACTACAGTCTCTTATTTATTTACAATAAATAAATGAAACTTTCTGTTTGTGTTTCTTTCAGATAGTACACTAATACTTTCCTCTGTTCTGTGGTTATATGTGTAGTGGTTTAAATGGGGTGCTTTGCTTGCAATTAAAGACTAGAGCCAGTGCTGTATCTGACAAGTGTTTAACAACCGTCTCTTCAGGAAAGAGGAAAGCCATGCTTTGTAACATTCACTAATCTCTGTGGTGTGCGCTGTCCCATCATGGCTGATTTAAAGCTATCAACATGATGTTACTGGACGTGGAGTTGAGAAGAGATGCTCGAAATAAGTTCTTGAGAGCTGACTCAAGCTGACTGCAGCACATCACTTGCTGAAACCGATAAGAGAGCCCCACTTGGCGGGTTAAAATATTTGTAGCAGGCATCTTGGGCAGAGAGAACATCCTCTAAGCAGCACCTGGGGCACAGGGTGGGAGATCCATGGACATACAGCGTAACCAGTGATCTTAGCCATTTCATGAGCCTTACACACAGCTTTGGCTGATTGTCTTGTTTCAAAGAAACACCTAGACTGATCAAAAGGGCTTGGGAGCAGGAGTAGCCTAGGACTTCTCTAAAAACTGGAAACGCCAAGAGGTCAAACAGGCATTAGGCTTTCAGGCCCCCAAAAGGCTGAACAACAGAGAAATAACTACGTTGTGATCACTGAGGCGTGGAGGAAAACATCACAGAAATAGCCCAGGAACCCTATATCTCAGACAGGTGAGAAGAGCTGATGTGTCTGTCATCAGCCTGGAGTCTGAGGTCGGAGCCTTGGACCTGCCCCACACTGCTCAGCAGAGGGAAGGGCAGCACTGGATCCTGTGGTGGGCTGAGAGGTGATGATTTTCAGTGTGTAAGATCTTACCATGACTTGATGTGTTCATTTCAAGGGCCTGGGTTTTGTAGGTAGCCTTGTGCTTTGAAGCATTGGTAAAAATAGTGATAATATCATTATCTAATATTTATTTAGTGGTTGCTGTGCACCAGTCACTGGCTACACATTTGTCATGAATGATCTCATTTGTACTTATACCAACCCAATAAGGAAGGTATGCCACATTTAATAAGCAGAAAACTGAATCTCAGAGAGGTGGGGTGACTGGCATCCAATCACACACCTGGTGGAGCCTGAGCGTGTGTCCCATGCTGGAAAGGGGAAGTGGGTGGGCTCAGGGCCAGGGAACCTTTGAGATGGGCTACCAGGGCTGGGTGCAGGACTGGGAGGGCCTCGTGGAAATCATTTGTTATAAAGTCGTGGCCACATTCTCAAAGCACTGGGAATAACCTATGGCTTCCTTAAAAGAAGCCTCTGATTATGAACTTTCGGTGTTTTATAGATTGCCTATCAAGTTTTTGGAAAAATAAAATAAAAAGGATGGCTGGTCATCTTTCCAGGAAGGGTACCTTTTGGCTAGAGGTAGGGGAGGATCTGGAAGGAAATGGTCTTGCCCACTCCAGACTCCCATGCAGAAGCTTGAATGTGACATGTTCTGCACAGGAGCTTTACTCTCAGAACATGTGGAACAAAATAAAAGTAACAATAAAAGAAGCTTTGCCTTCCTCCTGTCTACCCTGACATGCTTCTGTTTAACCAGGGCTGGTTTCCTGGGGCCACCTCCTAGGGAGAGATCAAGATCTGCTTAGCTGTAGCAAGAGGGTGGACCACTCTACCTTCACTAGATGGCAGCAGATGTCCAACATGTTCTTTCGGAGAGAGCTGCACATCATCTGTACGCAGGCCTGGCACTTAGAAAGCCACAGGGTTGAAGGGAGAAGCGCCCAGGCAGGATATGGTGAATTATCTAAACCCTGGATGAGTGATAGAAAGCTCATAGTAATATCCCTAGAGATAGTGCTCATTGTGTGAGGATCCAGGACACCCACAGGAGGCAGAGATGTTGGTGTGAGCTCTGTTTTCCTGGGACATACCGATTTTCCACTGCAAACAGCCCTCCAAGCCAGTCCCTTATTCTCTGGGTTTTCTTTTCTCCCAGTAAATCAGCCCCCATGCAATTCTACTGGCAGATATGTGCCAAGGATGAATGCAGTGTATTGGGTGTGAACTGCTTCTAACCAATGGCCTTTAATCTCAGGAGCGTATTTGCTCTTTGGCAGGAGAATTAGATGAGTGTTCATGCGATGATAATGCAATCTAACATAGCAAGTGCCATAAACCAGAGACATGCCTCTGCTCTGAGGACGTGAATGAACAAGCTCACAGAAAGGCTTTATGAGAGAGATGCATCTGAGTTGGATGCGCTTCACAGATGTGTAGGATTTTGACAGGTGAACCTGGTTTTGGAGGGTGTCTGAAGTGGAGGAGATAGCACAGGTACCTTGATGGCAGCTAGAAAGTGCGAGGAAGTATGAGTTACCCAATTGACTGGACATAGAGTATAGGGAGTGGGGCAGCAGCAACTGAATCTTAGACACAGACATTTGTGGACAACCTCAAATGCCAGAGTGAGGAGTTCTAGCATGTTTAGATAATAAGAAGGCATTAAAGGTTTTGAGCAGGGAAGAAAAATAACTGGACAGTGTGGAGAAAAACAAGATCTGATCCTCATGGGGAAGAGTCACTGAGCCAGGAAGGTGAGGACAATGCAGTGTGATTCCAGGATGCTTGTGCCAGCTGCCTGACCATGAGAGAGGACAAGATAGAGGACAGTAAAGGGTCCCAAGTTAACAGCAGAGGAGGAGCCAGGGTTTGGGGTTTTTAAAAATTGTTGTTGTTTCCTTGTTTTAATGGCTAATGAGGAAGAGAATCTAAAAATTAATTCAATTTTAAATATTTTGAAGATTTAAGATGTCAGGTCCAACTGACAATGCCCAGCCAAGACTTGAACTTGAGAACAAGGTGTGGACAGGAGGCTTTGGTGCAAAGGTGATGACTGAAACCCCAGGAGCAGATGACATCGTGGGAGAGAGAGTCTACCCAGCCCTAGAAGCAGGCAGGGGACTTGCCCTGGGGATATGTTTTCAGGGAATGGAAGTGAAGAGGAGTGAGACAGTTCAGAGAAGAATATGGGGTAGGTGACAGTAAATACCATGACATGTAATGCAGGAACAGAGCAGGCTTCACTGGAGAAATTCAGTCAACAAGATGAGATACGCAGTCCCACCTTTTCATCCCTTCCACCAAACAGCGTGCAGAAGGGATAGAATCCCACCCCTCATTGCTCTACCTTTTGATAGGATGAAGATGAGAACTTGCCTCATAAACAACTGGGCCAGGGAGCCAGCTATTCCAGGGAGCAGATTGGAATATCAGTTAGTTACTAACACCCAATGCCCTGGGGGAGCTGAAATCCTGTATAGCTCCTCCTGCTCAAGATGGGGAAGCCACTGGTCCCAGACTGCTTGTTGCCTGGCAGCCCAGATAGATCCTCCAGGGTCATTGAATGGGCAGTCCTGTCCCTTGATAACCAAGGAGTAATCAAAGTGGCACTGGGAAAACAAGAGCTCACATTTATTGAGCACTTACCAGCATTACCTCTTCACAACATCCCTGTTAGGCAGAAACTATTTTTAACTTTTGTTATACAGGTGAGGAAACTGAGGCATATACAGGAAATAAGAGGCTTCTTTGAGAGCCAGTAGGAGGCTTTGTCAGGATTCAAACCGAAGCATCCTGGCTCTAGGTCTTAAGCTATTAACCACTATACTGCATTGCCCCTCAGGCAAAAAGAGATAATGTGCTTGATGATAAACAGAAGGTACAGCGTTTTCCTGGTAGTGTCTGCGAACTTTTTTCTGTTCATTTCTTTTTGTCTCAAGATAATGCATGTTTTTAAACTTATCTTTACAATGTGAAAACTCACACTGGGGAGACCCTGTGCTCCCTTTTCAAGTTTAACACAATCAGTTCTGTAGATGTATTTGGTTCCCTAATATTTTGACAGAGCTTCCGTCCTTTTTCCATTCTCCCCCTTCTTCTCCAGGCAAACTATGGATCATCTATCTCCTCTAAAACCAGGTGCCCAGCGGGCAGTGGAACATCTTTTCCTTTCGGGCAACAGACTTCTATTAACGTAGACTACAACTGTACAATTCAGAGATGGCAGTGTCCCCAAGAGGCATCCTGAGGATACTAATTTAGCTTTCTTTAATTCGCACCAATCCCCCAACTCAAGGTACTCTGAATAAGCGTATGGGCTAAGTAAAAACACTGTGTCAGCTGTGTCAATGCAGCTTCAAGTTCCCCTGTCCCCTTTCTATACTCTAAGCTCTTCCTATACTTTAAGTATAGGAAGTATATTGGAGTCGTAGAACTATAGGAAATACACCTGGAGCCAAATCACACTGATGGCTCATATTCCATTGATTCACGAGCCCTAGTTAGACTTCCACAGAGTTTTTCTTATAAACTAATGTTTTAGAGAGCAATACTTGAAAAAAAAATTGCTTCGGATCTAAATGAAGGTCTCAGTAGGGTTCTGGATCATCCACTTTCACACTGAAGTTTGAAAAGAGAGGTTAATATTATTCCATGGGAGGGCAGCAGAACCTCAAGGGATGGACCACCAATCAGGGGATACACCAAATGAGGGAAATGCCCTGCCTGGAGTTGAGAGTGGCCACTCCAGGACTGGGTGAAAGTATAAAAAGACATAGGAGACTTCAACAAAACTATCGGCCAACTTGATCTCATTGGTTTTTATAGAACTCAGTTAAGAACAAAAATGCACATTTTTAAAGTACTTATAGAAAATTGACAAAGATAGGACCATAAAATGTCTCAATAAATTTTGAAATATTCAAATTACAAAATGGAATTGAATACTGTCAGATCACAATGGAATTGAATTAGAAATCTTTAACAGAAAGATATGTGAAAAATCCCTAAAACTGGAAACCAAAAACATGCTTCCAAACAGAAAATATTGGATAATAAAAAATAAGAGAGAAATTAATGAAATGGAATGGAGAAAAATAATAGAGAGAATCAATAAAACCAAAAGATGGCTC